TACTAATCCTGTAATGTTTTAGGTATTTTCCTACCTAAGGACGGGATTACATTCCAAATATCGAAACTTCGTGAACATATTTTTACCAATCGTAATGGAAAATGAATAATCACTGAAATAAACCTTACCACCACTGAAAATTAACTTAAAAAACAAATCTGAGAGACGTTTCTAGCAAATAAAAGGGCATACCGGTAGTAAAATTCTAGAACTTTATTTTATGCAACAAATGGCTTTCTATTACATGATCAAGTTTGGGAAGTCAGCTGGTCTTATATCTAAGTGATAATGCCACATAGCCTGAAGTAATGTTAAAATTGATCCAAGGCCTAGTGTTCTTGGAAAAAATAGATTAACAATTTGGGCCATTCGCATCCCATCTTTTATCTTTGGTCCCATGATAAGGAAAAAGCACCGATGCTACTGATTATTCCCTAATGGATTTCCCATAGACTGACTCTGGGATTATACAAGACACCCCTAGGAAGCTTGTGGGTCGTGGCTGCAATTACTCTTGCATCCGGCTGTGCGGTTTCCGAATTCACAGATGACAGTTTCGCAACACGACTTCGGCTGCAGACCACGACAGTTGAACAGACTAAAGATGCATTATAGTCTGTATGATGGATCCTGTCTCCTGAACCTTTGTCTACCTGACTGGTCCGGGAGTTAAAACCATTGACGAGTCCCCAGGTAGAATGAGTGTCAGGAGACATGTTCCATCATACAGAGTATAACGTGAGGTAGACATCGTACAAGACTGGAATAGCAAGTTAGCTTAGTAAAAATATTCTAGTCATAAGGGTTATCAATAAATTGTCCAATTAAAAAAAAATTTAATAATGATGACTAAATAGCTTCCTGTTCTTAGTCAGTAACAAAGATGACATGTAATTTTTCAACAATACAATAAGGATGTTCACTATTACATCGAAAGGGAAAAGTCCAGACACCCAATTTAACAGATTTTTACGACTGAGGTGTTATTTAAAAGATGATATAGCATACATGCGAATAGTAATTAAAAATACCATTTTCTTTAGAGTCTCGCGTTTAATTTATTTCTAGAATTCATTTTCAAAGATTCATGCTAACATAATCTTGAAAAGGTAAATGGGTAGTGCACTCGATTCATTTTGCCTCAGAAACTAATTTGGGACCTATTAAACCCCACAATTTAAGCACACCCCCTCGTTATCAATAATATTGAGATGGGTACTTCATTTACTCATAGGAGATTAGTATTCAGATTATATACTCATAGCAGTTCAGCATTCATGGTTAAACAAGCAGTACTTATTTGAGCATTCATAGTTGATAAACATAATTTTCTCTATTTTCAGCGTTGGTGGTTTGACAATTACAGTTTGAAACACAGCAATAAGGGTTCAACAACCCTGTACTGTGGTGTGGGAGCTGCCTTCAAACATGTCAAGATCAAGGAGGTGTGAAAGGAACAGGGAAAGGATATTTCTAGAAACAAAACCTCTTCGTGGGGAAATGCAGATGGCTGAGATATAAAACAAAACATTCTCTATTTTGTTTGAGGTTAGGAGAATGTCTTTATGTCTTTAATGGCTACGTTTTTATTGGATTGGTTATATTCAGTCAATAAATTTTTTTTAATTCTCTACACACTTTTAGAAAACTATGATAAGATTTCCACGTAATTTAAGAACCACAATACTTTCATAGTTTTTATTCTGACATTAAAGTTCTTACGCTTTTTTGGTCAATACTGTCCGAAATTCCATCAGAGAGTGAAATGTAGGGTTGACTACCTTGTGCACAACTTGAAATCGTTTTAATCTTTGATGGTAAAGCATTTTCGGTCACTTTGTATGTAAAATGTAATTTAAAAAACTCTATAAAAATTGAATTACTGTAGTTATAAACTACCAATATCATATTCATTGATGTATAGCATCTAACAATTTATATTTGGCCAGCCGGTAAATATGATAAAGTTGATGGTACTGGTATATTTAGGGTGTTTGATAATAAATGGAAATTGCAAATTGAATTGTAATTTGAAACCATTTAAAAACTGAATTGCAATGCATTATAGGATTTTTTAAAATTTATATTTGTGGAATGAGTTTCTTTTACCAAATGTAATATAATGTGGTGGTAAATTAATATTGGGGGAGATCTTTTGTGAAACTTCCATCATACCCAGGATATTAAGACCAACCAGGAAATTAGGTTACCAGAAAATATTCAAATACTTTTGCTTCGTTTAAAAAGTATGTAATAATTTTTTTGAATACTAAGTAAGAAATATGTGTGTGCACATAACAGAACTTTAAGACAGAACAGTTTTTTTCTTTTACGGGTACACAGGACAGTTCAAAATTTATAAGTTTTCCTTGACAGAGAAAAAGAAACTATGAGTAGAAAAGAAAGATTATACAATATTTTTAACCTTGCTGAAATACTGTTTTAATGAAATTAAATGATTTAATGACTTGAAATACGAGTACCGGTATACTGTAGAGTAATTTCATTGTCATTTAAGATGGTATTTTTGGCACAGACAGAATTTAAAAATGTTTGAATTGTGTTAGATAATACCAAGTAGCCTGATAACTTAAGATACCGGAAAGGTCATTGATAAGAATGACTGAAGAAAGACAGTACGCTGACCTTAACCCACGAATATTAGAATGAAACAGAGTAAATAATTATTGTGGTTTATCAACTGCCTATATTGTTCTGTTACATCACATTAAGATGGTCAAAAATCAATTTTCTATTACTTTATACTCATTTTTAAATTTAGGAAACGTAGTGTTTAATGTTTTGCATATGCTGTATACAATGAAAAAAACAAAGGTTATTTATTGGTTAAAGTTATTTGTTGGAATAGTTAACTTAGAACTTAAGATAACACATATTTTGTTATGTTTTTATTGATTATTTTATTTAATTATTGATTAAACTGTTTTAACGTTAAATCTAAAACGTGTCATTCATAGATTATGACAATAAGTTCTATGATTTTAATAATATAAATGGTTTTCACAGAGTAATTAATGTGTTTGTAGCAATCTAAGGTAGACGGTTAAGAAAATGTTGAAGGTTCGAATATGTTTTCAGCTGTCCTTGATCATATGGTCCTGGATAATGAAACAGCTGATCTTATTTACTAAAAGCTACAAAGATGATTTCACTTCATTCTACTGTCATACTTCACTCGTATCTATATAATTAATACGCTACATGAAACTTTGTCGGTTGAACTCCTCCGCCATTTCTTAACCGATTTTATCCGTTGATGTCTCATTGGAAAGAGCGTGTCGCGTAGATTTGCAAACTGGCCTTACATTTCTGAAAAATCCCTTGGACTCTGCCCCAGTGGCTTTGAAAGTTCCCATGTTATCTTTATGAAGAACATAATTGTTTACATTTTGATCAGCTGTATAATTTAATTGCTGTTATTTATTTTTCAATTCAATATTTATTATTTGAGTTTGTGTAAACATAACCCCCAAGACGGATCGTGTTAGTATGGTTGTATCTTAAATTTGTGTATTTATCGTTGTTTTGTGTAGCTATAATTTGTTTATTTGTTGTTTTTTTTTTCTTTTAAATGCCTCTGACGCGACAACAACGAAACGTAGACAGGAGGCGTAATCGTGATAACGACCGCAGCTACAGAACAGTGGCGCGTAATAGGCTTAACTCATCACAGTCAGCACCTGACCCTGGACAATCTCAACTATTAGGTTACAAATGCACCCTAACACTAATCCAAAACGACTTTTCGTTTTCAATTGGCCATCTATCAATGACCTGTGTTGCCTGTACATCGAGGCATTTTGAGAAGGAGAAAACCGGCCGGAATTCTTTAGGTTTATCAATAACGAAGATAATCGTGTTCTGAGTTACACGCCGGTACCTAAACTTTGAGTTGACTCTTTTAAACTCATTGTAAATATGACTGTTGTTCGTTTTGAAATAACTCCTGTTATTACTCCAAAGTATTCTTTGGAATTGCTCGAATTCGAGCAACATGTACACTAGTCTAAATTAAAACACGCCCAGTTTTATAACTTTCTCATGTGGTACTATAATAATATAATAAATGAAATATTACTCTCCAAAAGTAGCTTTCCAAAAATTTTCTCGTGGAGCTATAAATGTAAATTAAATGTCTTAGCTTTACCTAACGTCAATGGTTTATGTATACTATGTATGAAGGTTGTTTCAGTAAATCACATTAACAATATTGTTCTTGTTTCAACAATTAATAAATTCAGTCAAATCAGCGCCAAGACCAATTTGTAGCTTTACTGGTAGATTTATATTGTAGCTTTGTTGGTTGTCTATTAATACTATCTAACCACGTCAAATTTGACATATATGGTTGCATAATCATCTAAAATAGTGCTGATGTTGGTATGTTTCTGGAAGCTGTCAACAAAAGTGTTGTTTATAATTGTAATCATTGTTCTTATTAGAAAACTATTTATGGTTGCGAATAATTTTGATTTTTAATCTTAAGGGCAGGAAAAACCTTTCTTATGGTAGTGTATTAAAAATTAATACAAAGGATTAAAAAAATGTTTTTGTTAATTTAAGTTTTGTATACGACAAAAAAACTTTTACGATTCAGTTAAATTTTAACATGTCTTTTTAAAGTTTAACCTGGAATAATCGTGGGCACTGACATAAAAAACAATTGATCGATGAAATAAGACAAAAAATAACATTCAGAAATAATTTATTTATAAAAAACAATAACATGAATAAGTACGTTTAATCAAAATCGTGTACGAGAAGTAAAAATCTGACTGTAAATATTTTAAATAAATATCAACATTTGTTAATAGAATTCCATATTTACTCTAATTTATTTTTTTAGCATAACGTACTTAATGTTAATTTGAGTATTTCACAAAATATAATTTATTTTTAGCAAAGTATTTATTTACAACAAAAAATTATCTTACATAATGTTGTATACTTCATAATAGCTGCAAATTTTACATTTTATATTAAATTTAAATTAGTTTTTAAATAAAAAAGAGGTGCCTTGTAACTTTTGGCCTATCCAAGAAGTATATAAAATTAAGTTAACCTTTAGAAGAAACCCTATATTTATTTTAAAAGGGTACATCTCACACAAAATATGTACATACTTACATTTCACAAATTACCTTTGAGCCACATTTCACTGTAAAATAACTTTATCAATTTTTCGTTTCGAACTCAATCTAAATCCAATTCACTTTCACAAATCCAACAAAAGGGTAGAAGGGTTGTGAAGATAGTGTCTGAATACTTCTGTACACCTAGCGACGGTAGCTCCATCTATGATTCTATGATCAGCTGACCAACTGACGATCAGAATGTCAGCTGGGACGACAGCCCCTGAGGAGTTGAACCTGGGAAGTCTTTGTATCTGGCAGATTCCAAGGATGGCCACCTGAGGAGGTAGTATGACCGGTGAAGATCCTGTACCTCCGAGGTTCCCGATGTTGGAAATGGTAAAAGTCCCTCCTGCCAAATCAGCTGGTGATAATTTCATTTTACCCGCCAAATCCTTCAGTCTGTCTAACTCCCGCGCAATTTCTATTATAGACAAACTTTCAACATTCTTCACATTTGGAACGAGAAGTCCACCGGGTGAATCAACAGCGACGCCAACATTATGAAAATGTTTATAGACAATCTCCTCCTTTTCTGAATCAAAAGTTGAATTCAAAACAGGATATTGTAGTAACGCTTTCGATATAGCTTTGATGAAAAACGGTAGGAACGTCAATTTCACACCTTTCTTCTCCGCAAATTCTTTCGCCTCTTTTCTAAACCGCACTAATCTTGTGACGTCTATTTGATCTGAAAATCCAAACTGAGGAATTTTCAAAGCTGCTGTCATTGTTTTGTTCATTGCTTTTTGAACGGTGGTTAAAGCAGTCTTTGTAGTTGTAGTATTTTTAGATTGATTTAAGTACGCTAAAATGTCCTCTTTCATAACCCTACTGTTTTTACCCGTACCTTTCACATCACTGAGTTTTATTTTGTTCTCCATCGCGATTCTTCTGACAGCGGGAGTAGCTAGAGATTTATTCCAGTTCTTCTCAGAGTATGGAGATTCTTCAGGATTTTCCGTAACGAATACTTCTTCAACACTTTTCTCATCTACGTTCTTCACTGGCTCTTCCACTATCTTCACTGGTTCTTTCACTTTCTCTGGCTCTTCAATTTTCTTCACTGACTCCTCTGACTCTTTACCATCGTCTTCCACGTCAATCTCTACCAAAGGTTTTCCCACGAAGGCGAGATCTCCTACCTGGTAATGCAGTTTAGTAACCTTCCCATCAAACCTACTGGTGATGCTCACCGTAGCCTTATCACTCTCCACCTCACAAATGTCATCGAACTGTTTCACTTCATCGTTTTCCTTCACGAACCAATTCCTCACTGTGACTTCTTTGATGCCTTCACCAATGTCCGTCAGGTTGTACTGCACCAGTTTCCCCAGCTGGTGTCCAGAATGGAAGCCCCTCGTTTTCACGTGCTTTCCCGCCGTTCTTAACAGCACTCGCGCCGCCATCTTGCACCGCCACTCGCCTCGGACTACCTTATCATTTGTTTTCCATTCTGCTTATCACTGTGACGTCCCGGGTTGAGGAGTCAACGCTGCGTCGCGTCTTACCGCGTTATCAGCTGTTTGTCCCTGTTATTGACGATTGTTAAGTTGAATTGGATTGTAAATGTTTTTTTTTCACCTTGTGATTAGTTTAGACGATATTGAATTTTTATAAAACAAAATCTACGATTTATCAGGCATGAGTTGAGGAAATTTTATGTTTTTATTTTAACGAAATTAAAGTTTTTATGTTTATGCAAAGGAACAGTACATTTTATTTATAATTTTCTAAATAATGTTAAAAAGTATATTTCATATATTTTAATTCGCCTTATCAAGCAGATGCAAACTGCTTATAATTTTTGTTTAAAACATAAACATTGAAACAATATTGTCTTATGACTGCTCAGAACCATACACCTGAAAAATATAGGATGATGTCATATAAAACATAGCGTAAACATCCTTTACGTATTGTACATATTCTTTGTATATATTTATGTAAAAACTTAGAAAAAAAAGGATAGTAATAGTGATTTGTTGAACTACGTACGTACATTATTTAATAGAGAGATTTTTTTGGTTAATTACGTACAGACAATTATTCATTATTTCATGAGTATGTAACAACATTTTTTAAACTGCAAAAAGTATTTTTAAGTTTCTAATAGACATAAAAATTTTCCTTACACATTAAATATTCACAAAACTAATTTCCGTACTGGTTGAGCATTTTATTTCATACAAAGTAACTATTCTTTGAAACTGTTTCAAGTTCAATTCTCACTTCGTTTAAGCACAATTCCCAGCTTGTTTCAAACAATGGCAGTTTTAATACATCGCAAAGACAATCTTTCTCGTACTATTATTCAGAATAGCATGTGACAGTAAGTAAATTGAGGTGGGAAATGAAAGTAATTGTTATTAATTAGAATCAGTAGCAGTTTGCGTGTGTTATTGTGTTAGTATATCGGTGTTAGTGTGTATAACGTTATCAATTCTCACGCCCTATATGCATGGGAATCAGTTTGCAACATATAATGTGGCGATTTCACGATCAGGATGGTAAATTAAAACGAGTTGTTTCAATAGCCTAATAAACTAATAGTTCTTGTTGGGAATCAAACTCTTCGAAACGAAATCAAAGGCTGATAATTATAAATTGACAAAATAAAGTAGAAAAACTACAAATTCATAAAAAGTGTTTCCGTCAAAATTAGATGTCTGACATTTTTAATTGAGTTGGGGACGCCACCTAGGTGCGTATCTTAACCCAATGAGTAAATAATGAGTGTAAAACTGAGTGAAATGATCTGTGTAGCTTTGTTACTGACTAAGATCAGCTGTTATTAGTTACGACAATTTATTTAAATCAAACGAATAGGGAAATCTGGGTACAGTTTCAAACCATCAATAAGTTACTGACTTTTCTCAGGACCGATCCGGCAACCTTTTGATTGTTAAGCGAGCACTATAACCTCTGAGCTACTCAGTACAACGATAAGTCGAAATATAGTTGTTAGAAATTAAGTAGGTAGCCTATAGCACTCGCCTTAAAATCTGAAGGTTAACGGTTCGATTCCAAGTAATAACGATTTTTGGATATGTTATTTGTCTCATGGCTATGAATTAATTATGAGTTTCAAAAGTTCTACGTAAGATTGTAAAAAGACCTGGGTTCAAACCCTTCCCTTGCAAAAAAACTAAAAACTGGCAAGTGGTGGAAAACACAAAGAAACATAAAATACTGTAAAATATTGAAGGTAAATCAAAGTATAACATATCTTTGTTACAGCGGACGTGAACGTGGTCTCACATACACGGGACATTTCTGTGCATTGTGTGTTTGTGTGTGTGTGTGTTTATAGGGCCGTGCCTACTGTCCGTGACCTATGACCCTTTGAACCTACAAGCCTCAGCTGACCGGTAGACACAAATATCCACTCACTTATAACCATTGTGTATAGACTCTAACTGACTATGGGATATCAATATGTGTCAACGGTTGAACTTCAGTTACTCTGCAATATTTTGATATAAATGTGCATTTATTCAATAAACAATTTTTAATGAAGGTATAGCTATGACTACTAATAATATAGCTGGTATGAGAGTGCAAACTACACTTTTGGCATATATTGTGTTCGTAAATGAAAAAGATTTGGGTATAAATGTTGATAAATTATACAAGAGTCCACAATGTTTCATAAACAATACAAATGTTATGATATATTTGATCATTAATTATTCAATATTCACACATGAATGTTCATAAGTTACACAAGGCTTTGGACAGTGTTAAAGTAGACAAAATATTTATACTTAGTTTAAAGTTCATTGTTGGCGATGGGGAGTTAATGTTGTTCAAAGGTTTATTATGGACATTTTCCATCACGATGGTAAAAAACAATATGCACTTGAGTATTGCCTTTTACTATCGTGATGGAGTATGTCCGCAATAAACCTTTGAACAACATTTATGCTTAGATATTCATATATTAAAACAGATTTGGACATAAGATTTGAAATATTACACAAGATTCAAAAATACAACCCCACTTAAATTGGGTGATAAAATTCATATTTTATAAATTTCCCAATAAAATAAATTTCCACCCAAAACCAAAACTATGTTGACGATGAAATACTCTCTTCATATAGACCTAATACTATGGGATTAAGGAAAGAAAAGAACTTAAAATAAATGATCTTACTGGATATTAGAACTTGTTCAGAAACGAAACTACATAAAATCACCAGAGATAGTAACGGAGAATATTCTATTAGAATCCAAAATGGGGAAAATACCTCCATTAATGTAATTTTAAAGAGGTAAGAGTTTTAATGTTATGAAAAAATTACCCAATTGTACGCAAAAGATTTGTTTATGTACTGGTTTTAAACATTAGTAATTGCACTTCATCCTAATTGAACTGGTTACATTAGCTCTCAAAATTACTTCTTACTTGTCGATACAAGAAGGCTTAGGTCATTTCATTTTTATAATATAAGGGGGGATAATAATAAACAAAACAATAAAACAACACCCTTAATGTGGTATTAAACCACAATATTAATTTAGCACATAACATTCTGGTTACTAAACAATTTAGCAGGTGGGTCTTTTATCATTCAAATTCTCAAGGACATCCTGTCTTAAAGTCTTAAACTTGATCAAAGTTCATTTGACAACACACGACATTTGGATGTTGAGTAGTTGAAAAACCTGTCTTAGTCTAACAGTCTGATCTTTGTAATATAACACTGGCTTCATCCAACAGATGTATTCACATTATCGAATACAACTAGCTCCAGGTATCTAAAAAATGTCAACGATCACGTTTTCTAAAATAGGTACAAATATAAGAAAATCCATATACTTAATACAATAAGGGTTTTAAGGCTTGTAATATCTATTTTATGTCCGTCCTACTCAACTAATATGCACGATTGAGGTGTAATTTTACACCCTATGGTCTAGCGGAGGGCGAATGTTAAAAAGGTACCGATAATTACATTTAGGTCTTTACCCCTCTAGCCTTTGTTTTCTTTTTGGATAGTGCTTTCAAAGGTTCATTATTGCTGATTAACTTTCTTTATATCAGTTTTGTGAACTAGCAGTTTAACAGCTGGTTATCTTTATTTGGATGTTAAACAAAAGTCAACGTTACACAAAACAGTTTATGAAAATAAATCCAATTTATTCATAATCAAAACCTGGTTAAGATAAGAAAATTATACTTTTAAGGTATACATTTACGATAGACTTATTTTTAATAGTGTATAAATTAGTGTTATTTATTATTATAATATAATAATAATCTCAAACACACATCCAGATAATATAAACTCTCATTTCATGATTTTTTCTTGGATTGGGATTTTTTTGCGATAAAGACATCTTTGCAAGTTAAATTGGTGAGACCGGTCAATGTGTGCATTTTGCGCACGAGTCCCCTCTTTGATTTTACTCTGGTATTGTAGCACAAGTGGGGAGAACACACTGTACAATTCCCCCTGGAATAGAGGAACACTCCTTTAAGCTAACCTCAGTCCTCTAAAACGTAACCTATCACTAAAAAAATTCTTTAAATTTTACGGTTAGAAGAGGAGTCGATTTGCAATATCATACGTCAGTCATTATAATGTTTCTTGTGTATAACAATCTAAGCTTATCACCTCCAGGGAGTCAATAGTGAGGCGAGCGTGATGCTATTACTGGCCCATCAGTGATGTAACGCTTGCGTAACGCGGTCCTCTCCCTGCGTTACATATCAGGTTGCCAGCACTGATGACACACTTGGAAAACTTCTATTTGCATGATATGTTAGGAGGTAGTACAGCCTGATGGCTCCTAGAGTCAGATGTCAGATGTGGGTATGACAGTGGTGGGTGGGGTGTATTTTAAGGATTTTTCGTTTTGGCTACTGAAGAGGAAGGTAAGAGTGAACAGGAAATAGGGTAGAGTGAAGAGGGAATAGGGAGGAGAGAAGAGTTAAAAGTGAAAAGGAGGAAGGAAGAGGGAAGAGGAATGGATAGGGAAGAGGGAAAAGGAAGAATTATGAACGAGAAGATTGAGGGTGGAGGGAATAGGAATGACAGATGATTTCGAAAGAGTTAAAGAATATTTAGTTTGCCACTCACAGCTAAAGACAATCACCAATGTACAGTTGGCGAAGAGAAATTATTATCCTGATGTAGGAATTAACACCTGTGAATACCATGGATTAGTGCCCATATAACAAATGCTATCGAAATTGGACCTCATGTGTATTCTGTATCACTGAACACATCCACACAGACATTACTTCGAAAACCTCTTTTTGGGGTTCAGGGGGATGCAAAAAGGATATTCCCACCCGAAACCAAAACTAGAAAAGGTTGACGATGAATTACTTTCTTCATATAGACCTACTACTATAGGAAGAAGGAAAGGAAATAAAAGAACTTAAGTTGTTGTGGTA